TCTTGGCTAAATCGCATCCATTGCAATATTTTTCTGCATTTGAAGTTGTCATATTTACGCTTAATCATTTGGTTCCGACATACTAGGAAGCATTATTCACCTTGTTCATCTCTTGCATAATTTAATCTAGATTTTATTATACTTGGCTGAGATTTACCTCTTCATCTTCATTAATTGATTTAATAAAAAATATTTCAATATCTTTTGGTCAAACAATTTGGCGTCATTTGTAGGGATTTCTTTAGCTAAGATTTTAGTCTCATCTAAACCCTTGAAAGGGATAATCACCTCTTCCTAGCTTTGCACAAATTAACAATGGAAGGGAAAGGAGATGCAAGGCAAAAAGAAATAGTAGGCATCACAACCAACCTCCTGAACACCATCAATGAAAACAGCAGGGAAGATAACAAAAATGGGACACTGAACACCACACCCAGGGGAGACGCTTCACCTCCCCCGCACGAAAGTGTAACTACTTCGCACGAGAAGGAAGCCTTCACATCTACAATAGGAGAGGCACCACCGGCAGTAAGAAGACTGCTGAAAGAATGGCTAACGAATACTCTGAACAAAATACTTGATAAACCCACCCAAAGGGATAACATTAATGTTGCACATGCAGATGTCACGATAACTGCTGATGAGCAAGATGCCCCCCTGTACAGGTAACACTCATGGGTCTAATGATGCAGGTAATGATACGCTTGTATCCGTTTTAAAGAAAATGGAGGAGATGGAAAATGAGAATAAGGCACTCCGTGACCAAATGAATGAACACCAAGAGAGGGTTGACAAAATACCAGGCGCTCCAAAGTTGTTGCCAAAACGGGATATCGGTCGATTCATCGAGCAACCATACAATGAAGAAGCGGCCCCCTACGCCATTCCAAAGACCTTCAAAATGCCATCCTACCTAAAGATATATGATAGCACTACCGACCTAGAAGATCATATCATCCACTACATCACAGCCATAAAAGGTAATGATCACTCAAAAGAGTAGGTACCATCGGTGCTATTGAAAAAATTTGGCGACACCCTAATAAGGGGAGCCCTGACAAGGTACTCTCAACTACCGTCACATTTGATAACAACATTCAAGGAAATGGCAGACAAATTTGTCACCGCCCATGCAGGAGCCAAAAAGGCAGAAGCCAAGCTAAACGACATATTTGCCGTAAGACAGATGCATGGCGAAAGACTCAGAGACTTCTTAACTCGCTTCAATAGGGTGAGAATGAGATTGCAGAATGTCAGAGGGCATGACAGTAGCAGCCTTCCAGAACGGACTAAACAGGAACGGGTCGAAAGCTACCAGAAAATTGCTAAGCAAGCTCATGAAATACCTTCCAACCACTTGGGAATAATCCATAATGCCTACTGCGCCGAGGTAAGAGCCGATGAGGATGACTTCAACGGTTTGACCAAATGGTTGACGTCAGTTAAAACTGAACCAAGGAAAGATCATCGCAACGACGGTCGAAGAGATCAGTCGGGGCCCCATCTCGGCCGAGAAAGGTATCAGCCCTATGTTAGGACATCTGTCCCGCCTCCACCGCGGCACACAGATACTCCTTCTCAACATACAATGCCATATAGACATAAGAAAGGTATGCCTCTGCTCCTATCTGCTCACAATTTCTGTGTTTCTCCTTCAGAAATAGTGTACGCACTAGAGAAACTCGGTACAAAGGTATAATGGCCGTAAAAGATGAGGTCCGACCCCAACACTCGAAAGTCAAATGCTTTCTGTGAATTTCACCAAGAAAGCTATCACAAAACTGAAGATTGCATAGGATTGTGACAGGAGGTAGTGCGAATGGTAAATCAGGGATACCTGAAAGAATTGCTTAGTGATCGAGGACGGGCTAACTTCGCCCGCGGATGCGAATAGCCCGAGGGACCTCCAAAACCGCCTTCTCCCACTCGCACTATACAAATGATCATCGGTGGGGGAGATGGCGCAACAATCAATCATGTCAAGTTCACCACCATATATAAACTCAAACGATCGATCACCCATGAACGGTATGATGACCTCGAAGATAGTATCATCTTCGATAAGTCAGATGCCAATGGTTTGTCTTTCCCTCACTATGATGCTCTTGTTATCACTTTACGTATTGTAGATAGTGATGCAAAAAGAATAATGGTAGATGACGGGAGTGGCGCGTGTATTATCCATCCTTGAGTCCTCGTACAGATGAGACTCGAAGACAAAATAATACCACGCTGCATAACGCTAACAGGTTTTAATAATGCAGTTGAGTGGACTTCTAGAGAGATAGTGCTACCCATCCTAGCCGGAGGATTCACCCTAGAAATGACGTTTCACACCATGAACCAAGAAACAACCTACAATGCCATCATAGGGCGTCCGTGGATACATGTCATGCGAGCGGTCCCGTCCAGTCTCTATCAAGTGATAAAGTTTCCTACTCCATGGGGGGTATTCAACATCCGAGGCGAGCAATGTACCATACAAGAATGTTATCGCATCGCCCAGGATTGCGCCCATACCCAACAACTAAAAGGGGCAAATGCGGGAGCATAGCAATCAGCGATGTCGGGATCCAAACTTAACGTACGGACAAACATTATCAAGGACCCAGACATCGTGGAAGCATCCGAATTGATGATAGAGGATCTTTATCCCGTCATACTAGATGGAAATGACAGTATAAAAAAGTCTTATGTCAGTTATAACCTCTCGGAACCAGGTAAGTTTCATAAATTCTTGACTAACAATGCCGATCTGTTTTTCTTCTCCTATGCGGATATGACAGGAATCCCAAAAGATATCGCCACACACAAATTAAATGTCGATCCCTTATACCCGCCAATAAGGCAAATAAGAAGGTAGTTCAATGCCGCAATCAACGAAGCCGTCAGCGAAAAAATCGATAAGTTGCTCGCAAATGGCTCCGTCCGAGAGTTAAAATATCCCTAGTGGGTCGCCAATGTGGTCATGGTAGAGAAGAAAAATGGAAAGTGGAGGATGTGCATAGATTTCACAGACCTAAACAAGGCATTCCCAAAAGACTCCTTTCTATTGCCACACATCGACCAGCTCATCGACGCAACGGCAGGACACAAGTCGCTAAGCTTTTTAGATGACTACTCGGGTTACAACCAGATCCTCACGGAAGAAGAAGACCAGAAGAAAACCACTTTCATCACTCACCAAGGAACGTACTAATATAAGGTCATGTCGTTCGGACTAAAGAATGTAGGGGTGACGTACCAGAGGTTGGTCACCAAGATGTTCAAAGACCAACTCGGTAAAACAATGGAAGTCTACATAGACGACATGCTGGTTAAGTCAAAAAGGGAAAAAGATCATATCGATCATCTGAAGGAAGCCTTCGACATATTCAGACGGAAACTAAACCCCGAAAAATGTGCCTTCGGCATAACCTCGGGTAAATTCCTCAGTTTCTTGGTATCACAAAGAGGCATCGAGGTCAACCTAGAACAGATTAAGTCCATCGAAGGAATACCCAAAACATTGACCAGTAAAAAGCAGGTACAAAAATTGACAGGACGGATAGCTACCCTGTCGAGATTCATCTCACGATCATTAGATAGATGCCATAAATTTTTTAATGTATTAAGGAAGGAAAATGGACTTCAGTGGAATTCAGAATGTGTCAACGCCCTAAGGAAATTGAAAGCATACTTGTCCTTACCACCCGTACTCGCCAAAGCAGATCCAGGCGAGTGCCTCCTAGTCTACCTAGCTGTCTACGAAGTCACGGTAAGTGCAGTTCTAGTCTGAGAAAATAAAGGTACGTAATCTCCAATTTACTATATCAGCAAGACTTTAATCGACGCCAAAACAAGGTACCTCCACCTTGAAAAACTGGCTCTAGCATTAGTCATAGCTTCACGAAAGCTCAGACCATATTTTCAGTGCCACCCCATAAAGGTGGTGACAACCTTTCCTCTCAGGAGCATATGAACAAACCCGAATTATCAGGTAGGTTGGCCAAATGGGCTATAAATTGAGCGAGCACGATATAACATATTAACCGCGAACTGCAATAAAGTCCCAAGTGCTCGTAGATTTCATTGCCGACTTCAGTGCAAAAATATTACCCGAAGTTGAGCAAGAAGCATTTCGCAATATTACCCAACCTCTAGGTCCTCTACATCGATGGTGCGTCCAACGTGTCGGGATCCGGACTGGTACTCGTACTCGAAGTCCCAACGGGCGAAGTAATTCGCCAATCTATACGATGCCCTGGAATGACTAACAATGAGGCCGAGTACGAGGTCATAATTGCAGGACTGAAGTTGGCCCTCAAGTATGGTGTTCGACGAGTCATACTCCGCTGCAACTCTCAACTTGTCATAAACCAAGTTACTAGGATTTTCCAGGTTAAGGAGTAGAGGTTGCAGAAATACCAGACCGAAATCCACAAGCTGCTGCCAGAATTCGATCAATGCCGACTCGACCAAATACCGCGAGCACAAAACATCGAAGCGGACGGTCTCGTCAAGCTGGTAGCAGCAACTAAAAATATCACCAAGGAGAACGTGGTCACCTCCTTCACTCATCAATAGACCAAGTCAGGGTACATTCTATAAATTTAACTTGGGACTGGCGCAATCACGTTATATCATATTTGCAGGAGGGAGCACTCCCACAAGATAAAAAAGAAGCCAAAAAGCTCTGAATACAAGCGGCCAGGTACAACCTCATAAACCACGACCTTTACAAAAGGACGTTCAGCGGTTCTTTGGCCAAATGCCTTGGACCAAATCAGACAAGGCGCGTGCTCGAAGAGGTACATGAAGGCCACTGCGGTGCCCATACAGGCAACCGGTCCCTCGTTAGATGTCTTATTCGTGCAGGGTACTACTGGCCCACTATGAAAAAAGAGGCCGCAGATTATGTCAAGAAATGTAAGCAATGCAAAAAATACACCCCTATGATACATCAGGCGGGGGAACTCCTGCATTCTGTCACTTCTCCATGGCCGTTTATAAAATAAGGGATGGATATCGTCGGACCCCTCCCAGCAGGGAGAGGTAAGGTACGCTTCCTTTTGGTTTTAACTGATTACTTTTCCAAATGGGTGGAAGCAGGTGCGTTCGCTCAAATACGCGAACACGAAGTCATCGCGTTCATCTGAAAAACATCATATGCCGGTTCGGCATCCCTAAAGAAATTAGTTGCGACAACGGACCCCTGTTCATCGGGAAAAAGACGAATGAGTTTTTCAAATAATGGCACATCAAGCAGATACTCTCCACGCCATATCACCCTGCCAGCAAAGGTCAAGAGGAATCCTCCAATAAGACAATATTGAACATATTAAAGAAAAATCTCGAGGACACCAAAGGGCTATGGCCAGAACTGCTAATAGAGGTATTATGGGCCTATCGCACAATGCCGAAAATCAGCACGGGTGAGACACCGTATTCACTGGTCTACGACACTGACGCAGTTATACCCGTTAAGGTCGGGGAACCTAGCCTGAGATACTCCAATGAGAATGGACCAAGAAATGACGAAAGCAGATTACAAGACCTGGATGAGGTTGAAGAACGAAGGGATATGGCACACATAAGGATGGTGGCCCAAAAATGACAAGCAGAAAGGTACTATAACAAAACGACCAAAGTACGACCACTGAGAGTCGGGGACTACATTCTAAAAGCCAAAACACAAGCAACAAAAGATCCGAATGAAGGGAAATTGGGAACAAACTTGGACGGGCCATATAAAATCACAGCAGCAGTGAGAAAAGAAGCGTTCCAATTAGAGACAATAGAAGGAAAACTACTACAAAATAACTGGAATGTCACCCACCTCAAGTACTTCCACTTCTGAAAAAAGACACCACCTAAGTCGTACTCTTTTTCCCTCACCCGGGTTTTGTCCCAATCGGGTTTTCTCGGGGAGGTTTTTAATAAGGCGACGATGGGGACGTCTCGAGGTTCAAAGTGTTGTTCATTGCCTTGCCTACCGATGACATATACAGGCCAAGCAATAAAGGGACTAGATATAAAGAATCTCCATTGTATGTACGAAAGCGACATGTACCGCCATTGTACGAATGAAGTCGACATGTATCTCCGACAAATGAATAAAATCACTCCATTATGTATACGAAATCAACACGTGTCTCCAATGAATGAATAAAACCGACATATACAACACTCTAGCAAATAAAATAGAACGCCACCCTCACGACGGAATACTACTTCGGCACCAGCTCGAAAGTAACATCCCAATGGCTAAGGCCATCATCAAATAAAAGAGTTCAACTTTACTTGAACCACGACAGAATACTAATTTGGCACCAGCTCAAAAGTAACATCCCAATGGCTAAGGCCATCGTCAAAGAAAAGAGTTCGACTTCACTCGAACCACGATAGGATACTACTTCGACACCAGCTCGAAAGTAACATCCCAATGGCTAAGGCCATCATCCAAGAAAAGAGTTCGACTTCATTAGAACCACGACGGGATACTACTTCGGCACCAACTCGAAAGTAACACCCCAATGGATAAGGCCATCGTCAAAGAAAAGAGTTCGACTTCATTAGAACCACGACGGGATACTACTTCGGCACCAACTCGAAAGTAACACCCCAATGGATAAGGCCATCGTCAAAGAAAAGAGTTCGACTTCATTCAAACCATGACAGGATACTACTTCGGCACCAACTCGAAAGTAACATCCCAATGGCTAAGGCCATCGTCTAAGAAAAGAGTTCGACTTCACTCGAACCACGACGGGATACCACTTCAGCACCAGCTCGAAAGTAACATCCTGATGGCTAAGGCCATCATCGAAGGAAAGAGTTCGACATTGGTAAACTACGACGGGATACTACTTCGACACCAGCTTGAAAGTAATATCCCTACAACCAAGGCTGTTGCTAACGAAAAGAGTTCAATTAAACTCACAACACAATGGGTTTAACAATTCAACAAAGATTCTAAATAACATGACTACGACAAAAGTCATCGTCAAACAAACTGGAAAAAGGAAACAACAACTCAGAGGTACACGACAAAAACAATTTTCATTACAGCAAATATATTACAAATATTTGTTTTTACAAAGGGCTTAAAGACGCCCTCACAAAAATGGCGAAGCAAAAGTAAATACAACCGAATACTACGCCATATCATTCCCTGTGGCATACACCTCCTCGTACCAAGAATCAGAGGCAAGTTTGTCCGCATCACCAAAACTAATATCATCTCCGCTAGGCGTGATAAGGTCATACCCGCATTACTCACGAGTTGTGCGGGCCTTGGTACGCACATCCTGAAGCTCTATCTTGGACGCACTCCCGTCAACATAAAGAGCCTTATACACATCGAGCCGGGCTTCAGCGTGAACCCACAACTCATACAAATGGCGAGGCATGACAGGATCAGCCGAAGTATGGGATGTAGAGGGCTGCAACTGACGTCGCACATCCTCCGTTTTCAAAAAAGCCACCTGCTCATTTAATGCGGAAATTTTCGCCTCCAAATCTTGAATATGCCCCTCAAGTCCCGATACCTTAAACGCAGACGCCTCCACCTCCTTATCTCGCTCAAATCTACAAACACGGAGGGCATTTTCTAAAGTTATTGCCTCAGAGACGACAATTTCCCTATCCTTTTCCACGTGGATAAATCCATCAACAGTTGCACTCAATTCACTCTTAAGGTCAACGACCTCCTCCGCCTTCGTGTCCAGTTCGGCAGTCAAATTGGACACCTTTGCCTAGAGGTTGACATTTTCGGCCATCACTCCCTTATTTAGCTCAAGCTCATCTTCCATGACCTTAAGTGCCACCTCAAGCTCACTACAACGGGCAATGGCCTTCATAAGATCCTCGTCTCGCTCTTTCAATTCTTCGACCTTACGCGCCAATTCATCCTCCCTATACTTAAGCCCATCGTGAAATAGCTAAAAGTCGCGATCCTGAGTGAAGATGTCGGCCATCGTACGATGCTTAGTGCGGTATTCTTGATACTTAGAGGACATCTTCCAATACACGATCCTCCTCCCCCTTTCCCATAGATTGGCCAAGAACAGTAAAACAGATCCAACGACGAAAAGAAAAGAGAGGCACTTACCCGTAGAGCCATGCCAGAAATGCTCTATGAAACTCTGCATCACTCATCGCTCTAAGCGTCTTGCTTGCAGGAGCAGCAAATAAAGGGGCAAAAATGGACGCCACCTGATCACAGTTTGACAACAAGTCGTAGTCCTCAGGTACGACTATGTGTCAATCAGAACCCTCCGTTCTGACTTCTACACGAGTGTGACGCTCCAAAAATTCGCGAACATCCCCTGGGTAGACATTCGAACTCGAGCCGTCGCCCTCGGCGCGTAAGCCCTCTCCGATAGCAGATGATGTGCCACCCTCAGCGGAGCGCATAGACCCTCCTCCTTGGTATACTCCTTCTGTTTGGGGAGACCTCCCTGCCAAGATGGCGTCCGCCATAAATGCAGGCATAGGTGCCATCCCTGACGCACCTGTCCCATTTTTACCAGTATTAATGGCCATGCTTTTCCTGAGATCTATCCTTCTCTTTTTTCTCAACGAAGGTTCGTCCCCATTAGAGGACACATCCACGAGATGATAGACTGGTAAAGAGGAGATCTTTTCCCTCACAACCATATCCCGAGAGGAGTCTCTCACTTGTACCGGCTGAGCATGACCTTCTCGGACGGACTCCTCCAAAGTAAATTGCATTCCCGTCGAGGCGTCGGCCTGGCAAAATGCAGGGACTGGGGCACTCTGCCTAAAAGCTCCACGACCTATCATCGCAAAGAGTCGTATCAATAGACAATGGCAAACAACCGAAGAGCGGTACAGAGGATAACACTTACCGGATGAAACCTTCGGCCCAAAACGTTTCACAAAAGCGGGCCAGTCTTGAGTCTTCACTGCGTGAAGCAGTAAACAGGCTACCTAGTCCCTTATACCAGCGATGGGACGGGGTGTACGCCCCATAACTACAAAAGAAAGCTGCATATAAATATTAAGTTGAACAAAAAAAAGAGTAAACAAGTTACGACACCTACGATTATCATTCCACCACTCTGGGAATCCAGCGGGGTCTGACACAATGTGGTCAGTCCTGACCAAGAAATACTTATGCCAAAATTTGCGGCTCACCCGGTCGTTAGTTCCGACCACCAGCCCTTTGGTCCCACGGTGCCTCAAATGCACCATAGTACCCCTGTGAAAACTAAGGGAAAACAAGTGCAAGAGATGGTGAATGTTAACTTCGCACCCCTCCAACTCCGCGTATTTTGTCAACACCAAGAGTATTTTGTACGTGTACGGAGAAAACTGTGCCGGGTAAACCTGATAAAATTGAAAGAATTCTCCTGCTAACGGGAGAAGGGGGAAGGAATGACCAACCATAAAGGGGTATTCATAAAAAGCACAACACCCCGATCTATGGACCTCCACGAAGTCCCTCCCCTCCGGAATCATCTCAACATGAAGGGGAATGTTGTACTTAGTACGGAGGGCATCTATATGGGCCTGCTCAGTTTCAGATACTACCGGAGCGGGAGTAGGAGCAGGTTCTTTAAGGAAGTCACTTTGAGACATGGGGTGTCTCGGCAGTAACTCATCCACAATGGGAAAACCGTCCCATTCCTCCACCATCATGTCCTCGCCACCAGAAGGAGGCGCCATGGATAACGGGATGGCGTCAGAAATCCCCTCATGTGACCGATGTGTTCTAGACATGTCTATGGCAGAAGATGTGTAAATAAAACAAAAAAAAATCAAGAACGGTGAACGGAAGAAAGGAAGAAAAGAAATCGCAAGAGCAAAAGCTGAATATATGAGAAGGAATAACCAAAGAAGAAATGGCCGAGAGTTTTTGAAAAAATAAATCCTTCACCTATTTATAAGGTTGGGTAGCGCCAGAATCGAAACAGAAGGCTACCAATGGCACCAAAAAACCAAAGCGACAAACCATCAGTCTCTGTCTCGGGAAGAAGCGTAATGATGACGCACGTGGAAGTGACGTCATTTCCCAATAGGACACACCACCGAGGGAATCGTGAAGCCCATTACTCTTCCGTTGTTGGCCAAACCGTCATGATTCGCAAGCCAAATTTCTCCGCAGGTATAGGCGATGTCCGCTTATCAAGGACGCACTAGGCCGCAACCTCGACAAGCGGAGGGACTAACTATATAGGTCCAAATTTGGACGACCACGGCCACTACTGAGTAAGGAGAGGAACGAGGTCCTTACGATGTAGCGTCCTTTGGTCGTTATAAAGGGTGACGACCGACAGTGGTTAACGAGCGTACGACGTCTGCAGTAGTGTAAGCGTAGCAGGAGACAGTAAGAATATGCTTTTCGAATATTCTTTATGTTATACCTTTTTAGGGTTTAAAGGGGGATTGTCCCTTATAAATAGGGGGAGAACATTTTGTAGAAGATGAGGAGAAAGTGAATACAAAAAAGACAACTTTGCTTACTACAATTCTGAGATCCATACATCATCTTTTATCTTAGCTAAATCGCATCCATTGCAATATTTTTCTATATTTGAAGTTATCATATTTACGCTTAATCATTTGGTTCCGATATACTAGGAAGCATTA